CACTTTCAGGCCATCTTTCCTACTAGCAAGTACTTTGGGTTCCATTTTCCAGGAGCACAATCCACCAAAACTTTGGAGATGCACTGGATTAGGGATTTCTTCATTTATTTCACAGGGAAGGGGTGTTACAAGGAGAGTGAAAAAATATTCTCCTAAGCCTCTGAAGATAAGGAAAGAAGCAATGGACTTAAACTGCAGCAAGGGAGGTCTAGGCTGGACATTAGGAAAAACTTCCTTACAGTTCAGGGTGGGTAAGCACCAGAATAAATTGCCTTGGGGGGTTATGGAATCTCCACCATTGGAAATTTTTAATAGCAGGTTAGACACATACCTGTCAGGGATGATCTGGTATTTGGTCCTGCTATGAGGACTTGATGATCTCTTGAGGTTCCTTCCAGTTCTAGTAGTCTATGATTCTATTAGCTCAATAATAAACAGTCAGTCTTATTACATTAGAATTTAGTCTCCATCCAGGCCTTTTGGTTCTATTGCTACTTCTTCTCCACAGGTTTATTCACAACTGTTCCCTCTGGCTTGGGCCTGCCGACAAGCGGGGGAGGGGCAAAGGGAGCAGTTGCCTTGGGGCCTGGCAATTCGAATGGGGGTGGAGCTGTTCGCCAATGCTGAGAGTTACTGTGGCAGCGGCGGCAGCCAGAGCACCATGCCCCTTTGAATTGCCACCAGTGTGTCAGAGCACCATGCTGGGCACTGCACAGGGTTCTGAGGGCTGAAGGGAGACTCACTGTCCTACCCCTTCTGCCCGAGACCCCATCCCTTCTGGGGGCACAGAGATGGGACCCCCACAAGCCTTGCCCCAGAGCCTGAGGTGGCTGGCAGCCCCACTCCTCTGGCTTTTTAATCTGGTTTTGTTGAACATACTGCTCCATTAATAGTGTGTCTGAGAGTCACTCAGCTGGAGTCTTTGTGAAGCAAGGTTGCCCTACTCCAGCACAAAAGACAGTGACAGCTACATATAGGCACAAATTAGGTAGCCACTAGGCAATCATCTGCACTGAGCAGCTTTAAGTCTCAGGTAATCTATTTGCCCGTTCTTTTCTTCCCACATGCACATGACAAAAAAGGAAGGGTGTGGTGGATTTGAGAAATGGGCGTGTGAGGCAGCATGGACATGAATATGTGCCTTATTGTACAGATGAGAAGCTTAGCTACATATTGACCTCTTAGGTTTTATTATACCACTGTCCAGTAGGGGAGCAGCACTCTTATGAACGCAGGATCAAGTTAACTTGCACTTCCTGTTCTGCTCATCATTTTTACACTGAGCTTTTTATACACAACTCTTGTTATGCAAGAAGAAGCTCTTCATATGAACTGAAAATCATGTGATGGATAAACAGGTGGACATGAACAACCTGTGCAGCAATGTGGCCAAAGGGGCTTAAGCTATTCTTGGATGCATAAACAGGGGAATCTTGAGTAGGAGTAGAGAAGTTGTTTTACCTCTATTCTTGGCCCTGGTGTGGCTGCTGCTAGAATACCGTGTCCAGCCCTAGTGTTCATAGTTCAAGAAGGACACTTTATAAATTGGAGATAGTTCAGAGAAGAACTACAAGAATTATTAAAGGATTAGACAGCCTGCCTTACAGTGACAGACTGAAGGAGCTTGATCTATTTCCAAATGGAAAGAGGCATATGTTTTAAACAGAGAGAGTAATTACCCAGGGCCAGCTTACCATTCTTAAATCAAGACTGGATATTTTTCCAAAAGATCTGCTTTCGGAATTATGTGCTGGAAGTTCTATAGCTTGTATTATACAGGAGCTTTGACTAGACAATCATAATGTTCCCTTCTGGCCTTGGAGTCTATGAATCTATGTATCATAGCAGGCTATTTGTCTTGATGGGTTTTATTCTTTTCTAATTATACAGTGACTTAATACACTTACTGAAAACTTCAGAAAAGAGTGTTCAGGTTCTTATTCTAATCAGATCAATATTTCAAAACCTGAACAAGCAAGTTCAGTGATTGCTTGAGGTATGGAAGGAAAGTACTGTTTAATCCGGTAAAGAAGCAAGAGGAAGACCAAGGAGAGGGTAGGCCCACTGGTCAGTGAGGAGGGAGAAACAGTAACAGGAAACTTGGAAATGGAAGAGATGTTCAATGATTTCATTGTTTCGGTCTTCACCAAGAAGTCCGAAGGAATGCCTAACATAGTGAATGTTAGTGGGAAGGGGGGAAGTTTAGAAGGTAAAATAAAAAAAGAACAAGTAAAAAATCACCTAGAAAAGTTAGATGCCTGCAAGTCACCACGGACTGATGAAATGCATCCTAGAATACTCAAGGAGCTGATAGAGGAGGTATCTGAGCCTCTAGCTATCATGTTTGGAAAATCATGAGAAACAGGAGAGATTCCAGAAGACTGGAAAAGGGCAAATATAGTGCCCATTTATAAAAAGGGAAATAAGAACAACCCAGGAAACTACAGACCAGTTAGTTTAACTTCTGTGCCAGGGAAGATAATGGAGCAAGTAATTAAGGAAATCATCTATAAACACAGAATGTGGCAAGGTGATAGGGAACAGACAGCATGGATTGTAAAGAACAAATCGTGTCAAACCAATCTGATAGCTTTCTTTCATAGGATAACGAGTCTTGTGGATAAGGGAGAAGCGGTGGATGTGGTATACCTAGACTTTGATAAAGTGTTTGATATGGTCTCGCATGATATTCTTATCAATAAACTAGGTAAATACAACTTAGATGGGACTACTATAAGGTGGGTGCATAACTGGCTGGATAACTGTACTCAGAGAGTAGTTATTAATGGTTCACAATCCTGCTGGAAAGGCATAACAAGTGGGGTTCCGCAGGGGTCTGTTTTGGGACCAGCTCTGTTCAATATTTTCATCAACGATTTATATATTGGTATAGAAAGTACGCTTATTAAGTTTGCAGATGATACCAAGCTGGGAGGGGTTGCGACTAATCTGGAGGATAGGGTCATAATTGAAAATGACCTGGACAAATTGGAGAAATGGTCTGAGGTAAATAGGATGAAGTTTAATAAAGACAAATGCAAAGTGCTCCACTTAGGAAGAAACAATCAGTTTCATACAGACAGAATGGGAAGTGACTGTCTGGGAAGGAGTATGGCAGAAAGGGATCTAGGGGTTATAGTGGACCACAAGTTGAATATGAGTCAGCAGTGTGATGCTGTTGCAAAGAAAGCAAACATGATTCTGGGATGCATTAACAGGTGTGTTGTGAGCAAGACATGAGAAGTCATTCTTCCGCTCTACTCTGCGCTGGTTAGGTCTCAGTTGGAGTATTGTGTCCAGTTCTATGCATCGCATTTCGAGAAAGATGTGAAGAAATTGAAGAGGGTCCAGAGAAGAGCAACGAGAATGATTAAAGGTCTAGAGAACATGACCTATGAGGGAAGGCTGAAGGAATTGGGTTTGTTTAGTTTAGAAAAGAGAAGACTGAGGGGGAACATGATAGCCGTTTTCAGGTATCTAAAAGGGTGTCATAAGGAGGAGGGAGAAAACTTGTTCCTCTTGGCCTCTGAGGATAGAACAAGAAGCAATGGGCTTAAACTGCAGCAAGGGAGGTTTAGGTTGGACATTAGGAAAAAGTTCCTAACTGTCAGGGTAGTCAGACACTGGAATAAATTGCCCAGGGAGGTTGTGGAATCTCCATCTCTGGAGATATTTAAGAGTAGGTTAGATAAATATCTATAAGGGATGGTCTAAGCAGTATTTGATCCTGTCATGGGGGCAGGGGACTGGACTCGATGACCTCTCGAGGTCCCTTCCAGTCCTAGTATTCTATGATTCTATGATAAAGAGGATAATTGTGACTATTAAAAATCACATTACTGATGCAAATATAAATTGCTGCCATTGAGTAATAAGTAGCTCTTTCTAAAACAGACTACTCATTTGCTGAGTAAATGAAGATAAGGTGTCACTTTAAAGAAGCACTAGGTCAGTCTGGAATTTAAGTTTGGAAGAAGCCTACAGCAAGAGCTGAATGAATAATGGAGACCAAACAAATATATAAAAATGTTAAAAGATCTGGTTCAAATTTGAATGAAACCTTTTAAAAAAATTTTTCACCAAATAGAAAAGCTCTACATAAATTAGTTTTGAATTAACCAAACTTTCCAAGCTGACTTGAAATGATTTTTTCATGTTTTTCATTTTGATTTGGATGTCCTTGGTGTTTTTTTTTACCCTTTTTTAATTGTCCAAATTTGAAATAAAAATACTATCTCAAATTGAAAATTTAAAACAAAATTGTGTCACTTTCAGAATAAAATTTTCAAAATGAAAATGTCAAACTGAAACATTTTGACACTTTAGAAAAAAATTCAACCAAAATCAACTAATTCAACCCAAATTGACAAGTAGTTTTGAGTCCTAAAAACATGCATTTTTTGGTAAAAAAAAAAACCCAATTAACTGAAAAAATTCTGCCCAGCTCTGCCTACAGCAAATATTACTTATAATTAGTTTTATTATTAACAATATTTCTGATAGTTTTTTAAAATGATATCAATAGGAATGGTTTTTGACTTGTGTTTCCACACACCTTTTGCAATTCACATGGGGTTATCATAGTGCTAACAATAGAGAACCAGGAAGTAAAATCGACTTGAAATAAAAATGAAACTGGCTAATCTACTTCCATCATCCCAGTAATATAAAAGGGGAAAAAGCTTAACCAACAAAACAGGTGGGCTCAAAATTAATTTGTTTTTTGAAAACATTTTCAAGTTTTTAGCAATTTTTTGAAAAGTTAGTTTCATCAAAGTTTTGTCTATTATTGTATGTGAAGGTATTTATATATTAAAAACAAATATTTTTATCATGAGTGTGTCATTTTCAGTTATCTTGGGGACATTACTTGCCATGTCTTGTTTTCAAAAGCATAGTATTTTCCAATTCAATGAATATGTCACTGCTATCAGTAATTGGGACAACAATAATGAAAAGTAACAACTTAATTTATTAATTGCATTAATCATGACATCTAACATGACAGTGGATTTTTTTCACATTAAGGTTTTTAATGAAAGAAGAAAAGTGCAGTTCATCAGAGTTCCTTACATTCGTTAGAAGGGTGACTACCAAAACCACCAACATTCACAATGGTACATAAGCAAACACCAGAGTCAGTGCCAATACAGATACAGAGTACCCAAAATAAATATTTACAAGATTAAAAATATAAACATTGATTAATCTATCCCATTTAACTTTTGGGGGAAAAAACATCTATTGCTATTTGTTATATTTTTAACAAGTTCTTTAACAGTTGGAGAGAAGTATTTTTCAAAGTTTAAGTGGAAGCGGATCTTGTAACAGTCTATAAAAATGCCACCTAAAGACCTTCTAAGCTTTTACTTTCTCTGCTTAAACAAGTTGGTGAATGTGAGTTTACTAGATTCTCAGAAAACTGGTGAATTAAACGAAGTGTGGAGTTTTGGTTTTTCTTTCTTATCATATTGAATAGGCCATATGTTATTTCACTGGAGATGGCTCAACACAAATACTAATGGGAAAACCTGCAGTTAAAATGGTGCCAGGTGTAACATCTCTCATTTAAAAAATGAACGTTTTAAAACAGTTGAATCTGTGCAATTTAGCATGTAAGAAACCACTTTTCAGCATTATTTTTGTCAGCTATCGTGCTGAATATTTTTACCCACTTTTGCCCCCAGTCATGCTACTGATATATAAATCGAGACTGGCTGTGATGAAAGATTAACACCATTGCTTATTACTACAATGTTATTCGATTTATTTTTCTTCTCACTAATCTGTTGGTTTTCTTTTTAATTTATAATCAAAAATATTTTTCCTAGCATTGTATTAGTATATGTTCCACATCACAGCAGTGTAACTTTTAGGAGCCAGCACATTCCATGGTTTATGAAAGCTGCAAGCTTCAAAACTAGCAGATCTTTGGAGTAAAATTCTGCTGAAGGATACAATGGCACAAATCTAGCTCACCAGATTCTGATACCTTTACTCATACTGAGTAGCACCATACAAAATATTTCTCTGAATGCAGTGAGGGATGACGCATTATGTACTGGGTACCTGGGTATTATAGTCTGGGCCAGACCACTGGAGTGTCTCTGATTTTATGTTGATATAACTGAGCACCTATCTTCACTATTATTCTTGAAAAATAGAGACACACTGTTTATACTGCAATGCCAGAACAATGTCATATTCCTGAGTTTGTCAGCTGTGGTTTAATTTTGATTTGATGTATCTCTGACCTTTTACATGTATTTACATAGCAACTTCTATTCTCAACCCATATTGTTCAATCCATTCTAAAGTAGAACACTCCACCATAGTCACTGATCTATAGCCCTATTTTTTTAATAAAGAGGATTGAAATGCAGGAGAATGTCTTTGAGCGGTACTAGGTCTGTGGAAATAGACATGTTAAAGCTACATTTTGTCTTGTAAAGGGAATGGTACTGCTTATCTTTCTGGCCCAAGCAGTTCCATTCCCTTCACAAGACAACTAAAAATATACTACAGTTAACATCAGCTAAGGCTTCACTAGATCTGTTGTACTTTCATGAGCAAGGAAGTCAGCTGGATTTGGCTTGTAGTTTGAGTGAATATTTTATCATTAACGGTAGTGCTAGTGCAATGAGCCAGCTCATGCTCCCTCAGTTCACATATGGAGGAAAACCTTCACACCAGACACTCTTTTCTTTCACAAGGAAGGGAAGTTCAGACATCCTGCCCTCTCAGCTCCATACTGGGAAGTAGTAGAGTAGGCAACAGAGGAGTGGGCAGGACGGGGCATGAGAGATGCACATCATCTGCCTTTTCTCCCACAGAAATTAAACAAAAAAAAAATTTTGAGTCCCAAAAGCAACTAAGGGAGGAAAAGCTGAGTTATTGGGGAAACAAGGGGGCCATCCATGGGGCCAGAGCTGATTCACAGGGCATCTGTGCAGATGTTCATGGCCTCTCATAAATATACTCAAAGACATGGTGCATCAGCATAGAAAATCCAGTTGAAATGGTTTGGTGCTGAAATGGTGATCATTTTAATGAAGCATAGTCCAAAGTAATAAAAACCTGTTTGGTCCTTACAATCCAAAATCAACATCTTGTTTTTGCAAAAAACAGATTTTACTGTTGAAATTGCAATTAATGTTAAAAGGGAAAACATACTGGGTTAACAAATCACAAAACACAGGCAGTGACATGACAGACAGCACACAGGATTTACTGCACTTGCCTGGATCTGGTGTTATGTCTGCCATCATTAAGTATAGCAATCATTGTACTGGCTGCATTTTGGACATGCTAAGAATTGGGGTCAAGCTCTGAAGTGTCTGCCTTTCAAGATGGAAAAACAATTAAAAAATGTGTTTTGCATTAAGATCAAGGGAAATATTAATACACCAATATAGAGGACTGCAGCTATCTGTATAATCTTGAAACGTTCACCTTTGAACAGAAAGAAAGTGCCCATTTAGGGAGCACTTACTGTTAACTGTTGTGCAGTTCTGCATGGGAAAATGGGTTATGTCAGCTGAATGAATAAATGGAAGAAAAATTGCAGCAACTGTCATGTGTAATCTCTGCCAGGGACTTAGTTCTGTAGCATCCTTCAGCTGGTATTACTGTGTTTTTCCAAGAGTTGAAAAGAAGTAGCATTTCATATCAATGGCCATGAAAATAAATTTCTAGGCCACCTTGCTCAAAATCCAGTATATTTGCTGTTAGATCCTATACTATTTGTCTTATAAATGGTTATTGTTGCAGAGAACTGTCTCCTTCATGCCATTAACACAATAAAAAGCCTTTTCAAAAGCAGTCTATTACAGCAGGCAAAAAAGCTTCAGAGAGGGGCCATATAGCAAATCAATGGCTCCCATTGAGATGCAAGCTCTGGCAGTGACATAAATTTAAAAACCAACTAGAGTTTTGCTTTGCTAAGCAAAAGCTTGGTAATTTGGCTCATCTGTACTTAAGCACTTTCCTGAAAATGCCATCTGAATCTGACATTTTGAAAACTTTGGTGCAATATTATTTTAGCCTAGATAAATAATTTAGCATAATTCATTAAAAAATAATCAGAGAATGCATTTCTATAGGATAAGTTTACACACAGAAGTCTTCAGATTTGGTCATCAATAATCCTAAATGGTAGCAGAGATGTTCATAGTGAGTGAGAAAGATGATCGATGAAGTAACAGTGAATATGGATTCACCTTAGTAGGTGTGGTCATCTCCTCTGAAATCTGCTGCATATGTTCAAATGCTATTACTGTCGATGGGAGTGGTACATGTATACAAAGAAGAAAATAAATCCCTTTGTTTCAATTGGAGACCACACCTATAGGACAGCAAACTTTGCTTCTCTTGTGACAAAATAAGTCCACAAAAGACAGCATATCATGCTACTAAACAAAGATTTTCTGTGCTGATAATTAGCAAAGAAACACAGACCACTGAAAGATACCATAGGAAACTATAAAATGTTATGCAATATATAGAAATATCCTAGGGACATACAAAATTTACCAGTAATGACCTGAAAGTGCAAAGAGTATATACACTAAATGCCAAGACCTGTTCTCTAAAATGTTTTATGTGTTAGGTACAAGGTGATAACTATACAGCAAAATCCCAAGAAAAATTCTAAACAAAGTGTTCTTTAAGAAATAAAAACCATGACATTGAAGAAGATTGGTATCTTTGGAAACTGGAAGATCATTTTTACCTTGATAACCACCAAGGCTATAAAAACGTTTACTTTAAATACAATAATATCACAAATTAGAAGGCAAAAATCACTACAGAATGGCTCCAATACTCTTACTTCTTTATGTTTCAACCCATTAAATCCAAGAAGTCATCCATTTTTCAGTCATTAAGCATATCAGTGTCCTTTACATGTGACTTAAAGGAATTAAATGTACATTTTAAAAAAGCTTTTTGAACTGCCTTTTAGTGCTTTGTTTTAGGCCATGTGTGAAGTTATAACATACAAATATATTTCTATTATAATAAAAACAAATCCTGGTAACTATTAAATTTCAGATTGTTAACTTTTGACATTAAAAAAACATAACTGGCTTAAAAACTACTCTGAATTTTGTGAATAAAAAATTAGAGCTAATTTAAGTATTAACATGTGTTTCAGTTTCTTCACTCCCACACAGCCACTGCTCTTACTCCTGAATCAATGCCACTGTGTTATGGTACAAAATACTGACACCCTCTAAAAGTTACTTTCCCATTTTCCTTTTAAAGATATGATTGTCCTTTGTTAATTGCAAGCAGTCAAATTAATCATTAACAGATTTGCTAAACCTACTTACATTAGGTATAGGGCATAAAGCTTGAGAAAGTGATTAGTACCTAGTCTCTGTAGGAAAATAGAGGCTATGCAGGTACCCCTCCCACCCTGAGCACTCTTCCCACATGAAAGCTTCAGATCTCCTTGCCGGAGAGTAGCTGTTTAGATTGTATTTGCCAGCTAGCATGCAGCAAGAGGAGTAAAAAAGGATAGAAATGAAATAGAGAGAGAAAATGAAGGAAAGGCAAAATATTTTAACGGTGGTGGTTGTTAGTTACAAGTATGAGGGGACTAATTAAAAGTATTCTACTGTTTCTTGCTACAAACAGGCCACAATGCAAACAAAATGTATATGAAGAAAAATTGCCACAAACAAGTACTGTATAGGTGGTAAGTTGTTTCTCCTAGTGTTTTAAATGACATACATCTGCTGCTATCCACTCTTCCCTCTTTAAAGTATGTCATTAATGCACAACATCCTCTCTCCATCTCAACTTTCAGATCCTTATAAATTCCTTCTATACAATTTGTCCTTAACACAAAAAGGACAACATGAATTTTCTGTATAATCATCATGCAAAGAACAACATGATCATTACAATCAGATGTGGGGAGGGGGAAAACAGAAGGACTGTTAGTTTCATGACTAGCATTAAAATTCCATCCATCCTTTTGAGAACTTTAGCTTCTAAAAATACAAGTACAGTCAGGTCAAATGCAAATCGCTTTCTCAGGCAAAGAAAATAATTGCCAACACATTTTGAGATAGATTTACTGTCTGTCCCCTCAGTCTGTGCATAGGAATGTACATGCCTGGTATTGTTTGCGTGAGTGTGTGTATGCACGAACGCGCATGTTAATTTGTGTGCATTTACAGTACATGTATGCCTATTCATGCATATATACAGCTTGTATGTGTGAGTGGATATGGCTGCAACCATCCACATATACATTATGAAGAAAGTACATTAAAAATAAACTTCTTTCAAATATATTGAGGTTGTGACACAAACCAATAAAGCTAGGAAATTGAATGAAAAGGATAACTTTTCCACCAATGGAGTTATGCAAGTCAGTATTAGGTCAAGAGACTATTTCAAAGCTACATCTCAATTTTACCCTTATTAGCTACATGGGCAACACCAAGTGATACCAATAGTAGCTGCACTCATGTAAATGAAGGAACAATTGGACTCTTAATATTGTACAATATTTCTTAACTTTTCACAGTTCAAGTTACAACCTTAATATTCTTTAAAATTTATATTTTGTATATTATTTTCTCTTTTATTAAAAGGAGATTAAGCAAACTGTCATGTAAGATTCACTTACATAAATTTAGGATTCTCTACATAATGTTTTTATAATTTTTTTTAAATGTGTATTTCCAGATTCATTGAAACATCACCTTCACATCACTTGCAGTCTGTTGACTAAATACAGATTTTAAAATATTTTGTAAATACATAGTATTTACCCATCAGACTTAAATGACCAGTGAAGCTGTTTTAGAATATCATGAAAATATGTCTTTAGGCACATTATAAAATCTTTATGAAATTTCTTTGAAATGTTATCAATGCCCATGTACAGTAGCCACTTTTCAAAAAACATCTCGGCCATTCATAATTTTTTCCTAGTACCCAGGTTGTCTGGCTATTTCCTGGATCACTAGCCTACTACATCACTTTTCTTGCTAAAAGTAAAATCATATGGAAATTATTAAGACTGAAACTGAAAACCCAAAATTGTCTTTAAACAGTCAAAACTGATTTTATAGATTTTTAAAATAATAATTTTAAAATGTATTTCTATTCTGGTTTCTTCTCAGCCAGCTTTGAGCACAAAGTAAATTAGAGGTCTGCAATGGCAATGCTGGCAGAACATTGGCTCTGGCAGAATGAATACATCACTTTAATAAAATCATAATAAAAAGCATAATAAACTTGTTTATCTGGGGAAGCAAAAGCCCATATAAAAGAGAGTTTTGCTCTAGTTTAAGGTACTTAAAGGAAGTTCCATAATTTTAGAATTGTAAAATCATCTATCTATAAAAACTAACTTTTGCTTAAACTCTAGATAATACAGACAAACATTTTTATATAAAATATTTGTAGCATTGAATAAAACTGTTAAAATATGTATTTACACATGAAGAGTAATTTATTGTATAAATGTGAAAGTTGTGTATATATTGGCTTTTAGTAAAATGATTCCCTGAACCTGGTTTTTATGCATCAGACAAATATTGAAGTAAACATCTGAACTTTGCCAGATGTCTCTGTTATCCATTTATATTGTAACAGATCCAAAACAAAACAGACAAACAAACAAAAATATCTCTTCTAGTTATAGAAATCCACTTAACTCATTAATTAGCTACCGGACACAAATAAGTTGAGTCTGCTGCTGACCAGCACTGCTGTATGTACATCAGGTAAATAATTACCTGTTTGGTTGTTTTTTCTTGGCATTTTCCTACATAATTGTAGAGCAGACATCATTTTTCAATGTAAGCAAAAACAACAACAATAAAAAACAATAAAAGTTAAGTGTATTGGAGAATTCCTCTTGTTCATCTCTTTCTGTATTTCTGTCCCCTTGAAGAACTCATGGCACTAATTTGCATTAGGGGAGATGCTCGTTTTATGTTTATAATCAAAGTCCCAGCTTCCACAAAGGCATGTAAAAGTGACCTCCTAAGTGTTTAGTGCTTCAGAAAAAAAGATACAAATTTTAAAAAGTGCTCGAAAAGAATTTGACATTTTTGTATTTATATATACTGTATATCAAGACAAGCTTTAGAAGTGCTAGTCCCCAGAATACACTTATGGGGCCCTTTTAGGTGCCTTTCTGTAGGTGATGCAAACATTTTTATGTGTTTTCCTATAAAGACTTTCCCGCCTCTAACTCACTGTCTGTCTTTGTCTCCAGATCTTGTTTAACTACTTTTTAGCACTGTCCTGGAATGTGGTGGCTTTAACCATCGTTCCCGCTAAACCCCTGTTACTGACCCGCCGTACAAGTACTTTAGAAACAGGGATTTTTGTTCTGGGAATCTCACTTTTGGTTGGGTGATGGTGTGCAATGTGATGGCTGTTACTGGCATCCGTTCCATGGCTGGCGGGAAGCGATGTAAGATGTTTAATGCTGATAGGTATCTTGGAGTCCTTGACTGAACTTGCAGGTGTTTTAAGTGAGCAAGTGGTTGTTACCGGAGAGACAGGTTTGGAGCGTGAAACACAGGTGACTTCTTCATCAGAAGGCACCCCTGTGGTGTTTTCATCTGTATCAGCATAAAGATCATAGAGGGCATCACCACTGTAGCTGTCCCTGGGGATGCTCTCTTTCTGGACACTATTGCTGCTATCTTCCTCAGGACCAGGAGTAGTGGAATCCCAGTAGCCTTCGTCACTGTTTGGGATGCCCTCTGGCTGCTCATTTTCCCTGTTCTTCTGATCCTCTTTGTGGGTGAGATGAACTGGAATCTGGTTGAAACCAATGCGTTTCCCCATTAAACCATCCTGCGCCCCCTCGACACACTTGCTCTCTTTTTTGATCACAGGTTGTTTTGTTCCTCCCTGTATCTCTTGGACTTGCTCCTCTGTTTGTGATAACATATCCCAGAACTCCTGAAGGTAGGTGTCATCCACTTGGTCTGGGCTTGCCATCTCCTCGCCGCCTCCCTGGTAGGCCACCATGTTTGGGTTCTTTTTAGAAGTTCCTGGCTTGCTGGCCCCTGGGGTGCTCTTGTCACAGCCGCCACTGCTGCTGCCCACTTCATCCTCCTGGTCTGCAATAATATCTCCACAGCCTGTAAGAGAGTCAAAGCTTTTCAGTGAAGTCACGTCAGCAAACATCAAACAAATACGATCTATTGATTGCTCTGAGGGTGGATCAATAGAGGAAGGGTCAGGGGCTGCTGCCATCTCTTGACCACTAAGACATTCAGATTCAACAAGGGGAATAGTCTTTATTGGAATGTCACCTGTTATGGCCGTATCCTTCGCAGTCCCAACCTCTTCCACACCCGGATCTGGCAGCTCAGGGCGATTCTCCTCATGTTGGTTTTCAGCGGCAGCAGGATCCTCTTCTTGTATGCTTTTATGGTTCTGCAGTTCCCCAGCATCTCGAACTTCAGGCTCATCTGCGGTGGCGTGCATATCTCCACTATGTGTATCACAAGACAATTCAATATTAATTTCTTCTGTGCTATACTGAGGCTCAGAAAAAGGTTTTGGTGTCTCTTCTTTGATGCATTCCAAGCTGGCGGTCAGAGAACCAGGCATAATAAGGCTGGATTGAATTTCTGATGCTTCCCCCCTTTCCTCCTTGCCATTTTTATCCTTTTTATGCCACCGCATACCGCTGAAGATCCCTTTCAGTCCTTTCTTTTGTCTGCTGCCCGCCCTCTGATCTGCATTCTCTCCCTTGCCATTTTCCGATTTCCCATTCTTCTTCAACAGAGAGAAGAAACTGTGTGACTTAGCCACAGAGCTGCTTGATGAAACATTGAGGCTGGCTACAGCCCTGGTGTTTATATCCCTGTTCAGTTGATCAGCACCTCCGCCGCTTGATTCTTCCTTCTTGCTGCTTTCCAACACAACATCAGCTAATCCATCGTGAGTCTTGCTCCTCACCATCCCAGTTTTACTCGAGCCTTTCCCATCCCCACCTTTGTTTTTCACCCCGAATATGCTAGGCAGGGTGCCCCCAGATTTTCTCCTTTTAAATAATTTGAAAGCAGTTTTATTAATCTTCCCGGATGGTGGTTCAACTGCCGGAGTCTCAGCACATTCGCAATGCAAGTCCATGTCTGCTGCCTGCCGTGTCCCTGATCCTGCCTCCTTCCCCTCCTGCAGACCCCCACAGATGCCTGATACTGATTTCCCTCACTGACAGCCTCTCTGCTACTGCTGCCTCCTGCTCATCTCCATGGCAACCCAGAGAGGGATAAGCAGCTTTCCTCAGTCATGGGCCTGCGCCAGGCCACTGTCATCCATTCTAAATCAACCTGAGCTGCAACAGCAACACCAATAGAGTGTACTCCTCACCCCTCCCTAAAAGGGCTTATATAACTTAACCCATTTTGTGCTGCTGCTGTTCACTAGCATGTGGGCAGTGCATGGTTTATTTTGGATGAAAACAGTGTATGCTGTTTACAGATTCTGCGATGGTATTTCCAATGCTGCAATTCAGGTTCGGCTCTCCCAGTGCAGCTGTGCACTGTCCCAAGACTGATAACAATAATCCGTACTAATACCACATCCCAGAGTGCTGAACACGCTACATACAGCATCATTTTATATCACTGCATGTACTGCACAGTAGAAACACTCCTCAGTTTTCTGGCTCTCTGTGTCATTCTGAAACCCATTTCAAAACGTCTCTCTTTTCTATTTCATAATGCTGCTATTTCTTCTCTTCCACCTAATATTTTGTACTTACAGACATGCGGATGCCACACTGAAGGTTTAGATACCATTATTATGAGAAGCATGTTATTAAATGCCTCAACAGACAAGCCTATCCATCCACACTGTTGGCTTGTGGGGTTGGTTTTTTTTTTTTTTTTTTTTTGCTGACAATTATTGCTATGTTTTGCATTGTCTTTGTTATCTTTGCTGAGTACCTTATTATGTAAGCAAACAAAATGCAACACATATGCCGCAAAAGAACATACGGCACCACATCTAAGATGGCATGGGGGCAACCAATTGATGTAACCATCTGTACAGCCAGCCAGGGCTTGTGGAATATTTGGACCAGGTCTTAATAATTCAGGCTGAATTTAGCACATGATGGGCTTTGTTGAACAGTATGAATGTAAAAGAGGCATGCAATATGCTCACCCCTAGAGACCACCACAATGAAATTAGAATGGTAGTTCAAACCTATTCTCCTGGGACTGGATCCTGGTGTAAATCACTATTCATTTAAATTTCAGCTACAATTTACACCATCTGGCCCCTGGCACTTAGAAGACTTTATTCTAGGCTTCTTAGATGAGCAAAGCTAAACAACTGTTTTAAATTGCCTGAAATTTGAATTTCATACAGAATTATTAAAGAAGAGTATAATCATACTGTCAACTAAATTCTTGTCCCACAGAAGTCAGTAAGAATTTTATCACTGGCTTCCCTATGCTCAAGACTGACTCTCTTACAGCATCTTTTAGTCATTGCATTCAGCTGTTATTTCTTCTGAATATTTACTCAATGAATTTAGCTCTTTTTTCTTTGTTCATGAATTATCCATAAACAGGCTCCAATTTGTGTTCATAATTCCTAATAGTTCAATGAGCAGATTACCTGAACATAGATGTTCTCTCCTTCTTTTGTAACAAGTTAAAACAAAATAAACAAAGTCCATGACTGTGACTGGAAGGAAGAGAAAGCGAAATACCTCTTATTGTGTATGCTTTGTAACCATTTCCGGTACATGTTATGGAGTCTTAGGGAATACATAAAACTAGAGAGATAGACATGGGTGGCTCACCAACTGTTTCTTCAGCTATTCATTAATCATAGACTCCTAGGACTGGAAGGGACCTTGAGAGGTCATCAAGTCCAGTCCCCTGCCCCCATGGCAGGACCAAATACTGTCTAGACCATCCGTGATAGACATTTATCTAACCTACTCTTAAATATCTCCAGAGATGGGGATTCCACAACCTCCTTGGGCAATTTATTCCAGTGTTTAACTACCCTGACAGTTAGGAACTTTTTCTTAATGTCCAACCTGAACCTCCCTTGCTGCAGTTTAAGCCCGTTGCTTCTTGTTCTATCCTCAGAGGCCAAGATGAACCAGTTTTCTCCCTCCTCCTTATGACACCCTTTTAGATATCTGAAAACGGCTATCATGTCCCCCCTCAATCTTCTCAAATATGGTCAGAGGGGATGGATGAATTTGAATAAATGTTCACAAATTCAAATCAGTATTTTGAAACAATTCCTCCACTCTCCTAGCAAAAAGTGAGAACTCAGCTTAGTCAGGGTTGCACAGATGTGAATGGTAGCAGGCCTTATTATCTCACAGCCCCAGGAAGTGGGTAAGAAATTGCCCCTTCTTTTTATTATTACTCATTTACCTTGACTATGTGCTGCCTCTGGCAAGGCGTTACAGCAAAGCAATGTGAAAAGGTGGCCCTCAAGGCCAGAGGTGGGCAATAATTTTTGATGGGGGGAGGGGCACTCCAAGATTTTGTAAAGTGGTTGAGGGCTGCACTCTTCCATGATATCAATGAAGGAGGTGTGGGGTCTGGGATGGAGGTTGGATGCACATGGGAGCTTGGAGTAAGGGACTGAGGTGCAGGAGTGCTTGTGCGGTCTGGGAGGGAGTTTGGGTGAAGAAGATAGTTGTGACCTGAGGCACAGAATTGAGGTGCTGGGGTTTGGGTTGTGACCTAGGGCAGGAGGGGGATGTGATCTGGGGCAGAGGATTGGAGTACAGGGTCTGGGGAGGGATGTGGATGCAGGAGGGGGCAGAGGGTTTGGCTTATGTGGGATAGGGAGGCAGAAGGGGGGTGCAGAAGGCCAGGGGGAAAGGGAGGGAATGGAGCACAAGAGTCAGACTCTGGCCTGGAGACTTACCTGTGAGACTCCTGGCCAGCAGCCACCCTCATTCTCAGGCAGGAGGCTGTCCTACCCCAGTACAGGCTGCAGTGGCCATGTGCTCTGTGAATAAGAGCCTGAGGGGAGGGTGGAGTGATGCTTCGCATGCTGCCTGGTCTTGAAACAGGCAGCTCCCATTGGCCAGAAACAGCCAATGGTATTGTGCTAGGGACAGGAGCAGCTTGTGAAGCACCACTCCCCCTTCCCCCTGCTCACAGTTTATGAAACACAAACGGTCAGCAACCACTTTTCTGAGCAGCGTGCGGGGGACAGGACAAGCAAGGGAGACTCTTCCTGAGGCTCCTTGCTGCGTCTGTGGGCTGGATGTGGTGGCTTGGAGGCCTGGATTCAGCCCACGGAGGATGTTTTGTCCCAGTCTGCTCGAGGCAAATGGTTCTTGCCTCTGCTGATTGAGGAGGGCTACAGGATTTCTAAAATACATGGTGGTGTATGCCAATTCCCTTTGCCAATTCCATTACCTCTATTCTCCTCCTATTGATGAGGTGCCCCTCTTGGTCTCGTCTCATAGATTATTGGCTCTCAACTTTTCCACACTACTGTTCCCCATTCAGGAGTCTGATTTGCTTTGAGTACCCCAAGTTTCATCTCATTTAAAACTACTTACTTACAAAATCAGACATAAATAACAAAAATGTCCCAGCACGCTACTACTGAAAAATGTCTTACTCTCTCATTTTTACCATACAGTCATATATATAGTAGCCCAGTGTCTGTGAGTCTGTAACGGTGACGTACATGGCCATGCCCCTGGCCGTGTGCGTCAGAGCCCCGCCCCCCTTCCCCTCCCTCCGTGGTGGCTCGGCCGAGAGCTGTGCCGCTCAGCTGGGCCCCGGCGGGGGAGCAAGCGGCAGCAAGCGGCCATTTGGGGTCCGCACTCCCCATCATATATATAGTAGCCCAGTGTCTGTGAGGGTATGTCTACACTACCCCGCTAGTTCGAACTAGCGGGGTAAGCGCGGCTACACGGGGCTCGAACTAGGTAGTTCAGACTAGGTAGTCCGAACTAGGTAGTTCGGCATACATGCCTATTCCGAACTACCGGTACACCTCGTTTCACGAGGAGTAACGGTAGTTCGGAATAGGAACCTAGTCTGAACTACCTAGTTTGAGCCCCGTGTAGCCGCGCTGCACGGGGTTCAAACCAGCGGGGATTTAAAAATGGCGGCTCCCCGCTTATGCAAATGAAGCCCGGGAAATTCAAATCCCGGGCTTCATTTGCAAGTGCAGTATGCCTACATTACCCTCCTAGTTCGAACTAGGAGGGTAGTGTAGACATACCCCGAGTCTGTAATGCTGACGTACTCAGCCGAACCACCATGGAGGGAGGGGAAGGGGCAGGGCGGTGACGTACATGGCCAGGGGGTGGGGCCGTCTACGTCATTGCACTCCTTCCCCTTCCGCTGTGGCACTCAGCTGAGTGCTGCGCCCCTCAGCCAGGCCGCCGGGGGAGCCAGCAGTGCAAGGGGCCGTTTGGGCTTCCCCATGGTGGGAGGAGAAGGAAGGGCAGTGACGTACATGGCCCTGCCCCCTGGCCATGTATGCCACCACCCCGCCCCCCTCCCTCGCGGCAGCTTGGCTGAGCAGGCAGCACTCAGCCAAGTGTCACGGCGGGAGGGAATGGGAAGGGGAAGGGGAGAGATAGAGGAGAGAGTGGCAGGAGGAGGAGGAGAGAAAGGGAGAGTGAGAGGCAGGATGGGGAGAAGAGAAAGAAAGAGACGGAGAGAGAGGCAGGAGGCGGAAGAGAGCTGAGGGGGGGGAGGCAGTAGGAGGAGAGAGAGAGAGAGAGAGAGAGAGAGAGAGAGAGAGAGAGCTCAAAAGGGAAGACCTGACAATCCCGTCTTATGATGGGCTAATTGGCTAGTGATAAAATAAATCAATTGTAATATAAATATTGTACAGGTTGAACTTCTCTAATTCTGCACCCTTGGGACTTGATTGATGCCAAACTCGAAAATTTGCCAGACCACAAGAGGTCAATATTGTCTAGCAGCATTACCAAGACTTCCACTGATTACTGGGCTCTCAGAAGACATTTAGAAGTAAATTAGAGCTAAATAACAGTACAGAACACTGAGAGCCAGGACTGGTGACTATAAACAAACTTTATGGGACAGTGAGAAACTTCGCCACATCCATGATAAGTGGACATTTGGCTAACTAAAATCATGCCAGACCACAGATGTTGCCGGACCAGAGAGTTCCAGATTACAGAGATTCAACCTGTATTTACATTTCAGTGTATAATATAGAGAGCAATATAAAAAAGTGATTGTATGACATTTTAGTTTGTACTGCCTTTGCTAGTGCTCTTTA